GGTTTCGATACCCGTGTGGGCAGAGCACAGATAGCCCATCGTGTAGCTTTGTGCTTAATTGCAAATAAACAAATAAACAAACAATCTTTAATGGAAACGAATAAACTGAGAATTACTATATATAAAGCGAATCTAAATAAAGTTTTACAAGAAAAACAACAATAAAAACTTTAGCAAAATCTCACTCAGCTTGTGTAAAAGAGAGTGCGTTTAAAATTGTTTATTTAATCGGATATACCTGCTATTAATTAACGAGTACTTTATGTTAAAATTATTAGAATAATTAAATTTAGCAAGTCACGTGATAATCACAGTTGATATTAAATTGTGGTAGAATAGCATGAAACAGAACTACATTTTGACATTGTTTGGCGTTTCATGATGCCATAAGAACTCTATCGCTTTTAGGAAGGGTGCATAACAGCCTTTTCCCACGGAAAATGTTCGTATACTCAAATCATAAAGATGTTTTCAGATTGAGAATTTAAAATTTCCAAAGAGGGGTTTATTCCTTGTACTTAATATATTTACAAAACAAAATAATATGAATCAACTTTGGACAGCAGGACCATCTAAAAAGAGACCTGCAACAAATACCCCAGCAAATGTATCGTCTTGTAACAGGTGAAAATTTACGAACGTAAAGGTCAGTAGCAAAAACCGTCCGCATGCTCCAAGGTAACAGTAAGTAACATACTGTTACTTTGGAGCATATGGAAAAGCAATACATGTAACGCCTACACCAGCTGGTTCCACTACATATCTATCTATTTAAGTCGTATACCTCAAAGTGCTGGAGAATAAATCGGGTATTCATAATATTCCATACGAAGACACACCAGTGAAGTTGCCAAATGTAGTATTTATGTATTTCCGTGTAATCCAACTATTAAAACTGGTGCCGGGAAATCGTTGGCCTTATATACCGGATGGCTTATCAAAAACATGCAAGAAGTATTGGTGTGCTATAGACATATAAGCCTTACGACCGAGCCTTTTTTCAATAGAAACTACGTTGCAGGTTTATTGTCAATAATTATGGCCGTCAGAACGAGCACGACAGGACATGAAATGTAATGATGTGGTGAGGTTCCAATATCGTTTTAGTATAATGTACCCAACATCTGTACGACGACGCATGTAACTCGAAACTTGTGAAAATGTCAATTTTATTCATTGCTTTTTGACGGATAAGGATGCATAATTTTGTTGCTCACAGAATTAATGTAACTATTTTCTGTCAGTTTTAATGTTGTTATAAGTCCTTCGCCTCATATAAATTTCTAACAAACGAAAACATGGAAGACTGAACTACCTAGCGCTTGCTCTAACCTAAAAATAAAGCGCCTGATACATTTGTCAAGAAAAGATCCGCGGTCGTAAACACATTGTTTTCCAGGCAGAAAATGTTTATAAATTATTGTGGATTCTTTATTAGATAAACGGGTTGTTTTTAATAAAATATTCAGATGACTGAGATTTATTTTGTTTACTTAATTAATTTTCTGATGAACTTGAATAAACTCAGTTTTTGTTATTTATTGACTAAATAGAAACTTTAGGTTATAGTAATTTTATGATTTTAATGTAAAAATTCCATTTGTAACCAAAATAATCAGAAAGGTTTATATAGAACTTAGCACGAAAACCATGAAGTTGTTTGCAAAACGACCTTTTTAAAACGTGGTACAATCAGCTCTTATGCACTTGTAACTAAAGAAAGATTTCTTGTATATTTTCTATATCCCCGACAACTATACTACAGTGTGTGCTAATAGGTATTCTATTGTGTGAATGTTTTTTGAGAAATGCGGAAACAAGCTGTTTCTTGGTGGAAGACAGGTATAGCCAGTGCATTGTACAACAATGATGAATCACCGTTGATACAATATGAAAAATTGCGCAGTGTCATAAATACTAAACATTTAACTGCTTCTATAAAACCTTACCAATGTTCTGTTCTGAACGTGCTAGGCAGATATTAATCAGTCATGCATGTATTGTACAGCAGTTTCAGGACTGAAGATATCATTACCAAGCGTGGTCATCACAGTTTTCTGTTGTTTCATTTTGACATTAACCTGTTTTTATATATTTGTAGTCAGGTTTACAACCTAACTTTTAATTTTTCTTACACAGACAAAGTTGAATATTCTTTTCACAAAAATAAAAAGTTACTGCTGCTACACGTTTAATAATAACATTTCTTAATCTTACTGATTTAGTGCATGCATTATGAATCACAGACTGAACATCTACTTATCTTCTTCTTTTATTCTTTTTATTATTATTACAAAAACGTGATCGTGTTAACGACCAGAACATTTTCTTGAAACTGCTCCTAAGCTGGCAATATGCACTGCCTTCAACTTATTGAAGCATTTTTGGGGATCGAAAGTTATGCTCACTGCATACTTTAGAAGAAAGAATACCTGTACTGGGATTATACTTTTACATCTCATGAGAATAGATAAAGCAATTTAGAACTAGGTTTGCATAAGGCTTAATTTGTCTGGCTGAACCATTTTACATTCATACAAAGGTCATTTTTGAGCTATAATCTCTATTGACAAAATCACACAGTGGGCTTAAACCTACATAGGTTTCGAGGTTTTTTAATATTAAATGATCTTAGAAAGGTCGTCAGTTACAAAAGATTAATGACAAAAATTGGTATAAGCACCTGTACAAAATACTAATTAGCAACAATATGATACAAAATGTACATATTTTAATTATTTTAGCATAACATTTGCTAAAAAGTGTGTATTATAATGATAAACAATAAAAAAATACACCAGGTATAAATATAATGTCTGTAATGGTGATTAACTAATATTTTGTTACCTAGATACTTATATAAAAACATTGTATTTTGAATAAACTTGTTCTGAAACAAATGCCAGGATATATTTTCTTTACAAGTTTTATAAAACAGAAGTATGTTCACGACAGCGTTTCCTTAAAGATTTAAGAATTCTTCCGTTATTCTAATTTTACCATTAGTTATTACTTCAATTTATTATTATGTTATTATATATATATTACATAACATAGAAAACGATGTGATAAAAATGAGTTTTGCATCGAATTAAACACTTTATTTGTTGACATGGCATTTGTCTCATTATTGTTTGTTGTTTTTTCGTGTGTTCTTTTTTTTTTTCTATTTTCACGTGATGACGTAAAGAAGATGTAATACGGGTAGTTTATTTTAAACATCTGTTCACAACTATTTTATTTCTTTGTGAATTTCATTTGCCTATTGAGTTTGTTTGTTTTTGGAGTTTTGTACAAAACTATTCAAGGGCTATCCTCGCTAGCTGTCCCTAATTTCGAAGTTAATTACTAGAAGGAAGGCAGCTACTCAACACAACCCACCGCCTACTTTTGAATACACTTTTAACAATGAAAAGTTGAATTGACTGCTACATTGTAACGCCTCCATGGCTGAAAAGGTGAGCATGTTCAGTATCGGGATTCGAACTCTGTGGGCAGAGCATAGATAGCCCATTGTGTAGCTTTGTGCTTCATAACAAATAAACAAGTTCCCAGACTTGCATGTATTATCTCTCTATTGCTTGAACTTAGTTAAGGCTCATGGGGTTTTTATCTGAGAGGTTGGTACGACGAGCGTCGATTGAGGGCAGAGCTCTGAAAATGGTGATTTTCTTACTTTCAGGTTACTTTCTTGGTACCATGCACTGCAAAAGGACGACACTCGGTGTCACTCAGAAACACAGACTGCGGTGCCTCATTTATCGTTTTTTGATTTATTTTCCGACTATATTCTCATGCTTACAATAAAAACTGTACTTAGAGACTTCAACTACACCTTCTCCGACGTGTATAAAAGACTAATCTATCTCATGTTTAGACATCAATCCGCTTCTGAAGATATCCTAGTACACACAGTTCCGTAATCTTCTCTTCCATAAACATGAAGGCTATGGTAAGTTCTGTCTTGCAATGTACAAATAATGCTTTGATTTAGTATCTCAACACACTGTAATATATATATATCATGCTCCTATCAAACCAATTGTTGAAAGAAAATGTTTCCTTTAAAAGGTACATATGATAATTATGATAATATATTTTATTACAGTTTTCAAAAATTTATTAACATGTAGATTATTTTTAGAGCCATTAAATATCATATTTATTCATATTAATCCCTTTTTCTCAGTTCACTGCAGTAGTGCTTCTATTGGCTGCTGCCGCCGTTATGGCTGGTTTCATAGGCTACGGTGGTATTGGCCATGGAGGTTTTGGTGGTATTGGCCATGGAGGTTTCGGTGGTATTGGCCATGGAGGTTTTGGTGGTATTGGCCGTGGAGGTTTTGGTGGTATTGGCCGTGGAGGTTTCGGTGGCTTGCATGGAGGCTACGGTGGTATTGGACATGGAGGTTTCGGTGGCTTGCATGGAGGCTACGGTGGTATTGGACATGGAGGTTTCGGTAATATTGGTTATGGAGGAGGACGTGGTGGTTATGGTGGATATGGCAAATATGGATGGCACTAAAAGAAAACAATATTACATTCTGATATTAAGAAGATTAAACGTGTCAGGTGAGATTTACTAAACCAGTTCAATTAAAACATTTTTTTTTATTCTAAGCTAGGAAATTTGTATTTAATAAATATATAAATCGTATTTTCTTACATATGATCACTGTTATAATCTGTTTGAAATAAAAAAAATCGCCTATAATATTAAAAAAATAGCAGCTAGTTTGTTTTACTATTAGTGCTCAAAATGTTGATATATTTCAAATAAGTAAACCAAATGTGTATGTGGTTATTTATAAACATGTCATCTCTATTCTCTGATTTCATTTATAAATAAATTATTTCTCAATATTTGTTCTTTCTCCTCAGATCCATTCGGAATACAGGGAGGCGAACGAAATCTACACTTCCAGTTGTTATTACTTATTATACGCAGCAGGCACTAAAAATATTCATAAACGTCTGTCATATCTTTTACGATGTAATGTTACTGAGATAAAATAAATAATTTATTTTCGTCAAATGCATGTTTTTGTGTTTTATGTTTATTCGTTTATTTATTGCGTGCAAGAGATTTTAATAATATATCTTTTTTTTACACAATGTAATTATACTCTTCGTTACTTATATAGCTTTTTCAATTATATGCTATTCATAACGCACTTTTAAAAACACTAAAGGATGTCCTGATGCTACAAATGACCTAATCTTTAACAAATTATAATACCTAAGAAAATATAATTATTTATCACCTGCTATCCCTGACAGTTCTGCACAAAAAATATAACCAATGTGTTTTTATTACACTGTTACTGAGTTAAACGCTGAAAGCTGATAAGCAGTGGAACCAATAGTCAAAGTTAGAGATTCAGATTTAATTGTGTATAGCATTTTCTGCCGTTTCTCCTTCTATTGCGGTTACTATCCTCACCTTTAAATTATCAGTGCACATCGAAATATCACGGATATTAAACGCTGAAAGATGGTAATCCATGAAATAACTGGCCTAGCATTCGTGATCAAAAATGACAATGGGCTGCATAATTTTTAACTCTATTTTATTTTATTTATTTTTTACATATAAGATATATTTAAAGTAATATTTTTACACGTCCCTGATTTTAATTTAGTAGTAGACTAATTAAGATAAATGCGAAAAATAAAAGATCTGCAATCCAGTTTGATGCTTTATCACGAATGTCGGACTCGTTATTTCGACAACTTTCGGTAATTAAAGGTTCTGGTATTAAATACGGAATGAAAGCCCTCCTGAGAACTAATTTTTGTCGGAAGAAAAGTGAAGTCTATAAACTTGTTTTTACATGTTCTTGATTTGAAATTCTCGATGTACTAATTAAGAGAAGCCCCTACACATATTAGTGCCCAAGAGGACTTTTTATTCAGTATCGTCATTTTGGCTTGGCATGATAGCAGCCCGAAATCAGTGTTTAAAGTGGGAAGAAAAGCGCCAGTATGCATACCAGTAAGGAAAACATGGCGGTATGACATTCTGGAAAAAAGCTACACTCTTGAAAAGCACCCTACCCACAATTCTTTCTTTTTGCATGAAAATACGCCTGGCTTTAATGGCCCCGAAACTACAGTGCATGCATTTATGAGAGATGAAGTTATGTGTTTGGTATATAATCGTTATACTTTTTTCAGTCGCATTCCGAATTCCTTCAGATTTTGGACAGATCTGTTTCTGAATCGAAAGCTCTCCCCACTTTTAGAACAGTGCGGACTTGTGTTTTTGTACACTCATCAGCTTTGACTATTTTCATTGATAAATATTACATTTTACCTTATTGTTGCGTCATCGAGGTCACGTGACTGGTGTGGCGCCACCTATTTTCTAGAACTATCCTGTACCTTGGGAATGCTCTAGTATTTACTAGATATAGGGTAGACTGGTATATAAAAGAGGGTGACAACGTGACGGGACAATAATGTGTGTGTAGATAATGAGTAATTGAACTGCAGTCAGAAGTATTGTTGACGTTCCTTGATTAGCGTTTGTGATAGAGCGACTGTTGAAAATAAGTGTATCGTAAAGTTAGTATTCGGAAAG